ATTTAGATATAGCTCCCGTATATAGTTTCGTCCGAGTTAAGGTAAATGGGGCACCAAAGTCCCTATATATCTTTCGATTTGCATGAAATTTGGCATTAAGTTCTGAATGAGGACCAGAATGATGTATTTTAAGTTTCCTGAAAATCGGTTCAGATTTAGATATAGCTCCCATATATAGTTTCATCCGATTTTATGTAAATGGTGCACCAAAGTCCTTATATATCTTTCGAATTGAACGAAATTTGGCACAGCGTACTGAATTAGGTCTGGAATGATGTGTATTAAGTTTCGTGAAAATCGGTTCAGATTTAGATATAGCTCCCATATATATTTTCGTCCGATTTAATGTAAATGGTACACCAAAATCCCTCTATACCTTTCGATTTGTCCGAAATTTTGCATAGCCCAATGAATTAGGTCTAGAATGATGTGTGTTATGTTTCCTGAAAATCGGTTCAGATTTAGATATAGCTTCTATATCTGACCAAATGAAAAAATTTAGTATCGGTTGCAGAATGACATGTTTATGGATCCAATTTCCTTTTACTGGTCCTTCAAAAATGCGACTTCTGTTAGGATTGAATATACCCAAAGTGGTGAATGGTATCATATAGTCGGCCCCGTCCGACTTTACTACTTTTCTTACTGGTTTTCATACGGAAAAATGTTATTCCGATTTTATTCTATACGAAAAAAATTATTCCGAATTATTCTGTGATCTTTTTCATAGAAAAAAATTGAAACCTGAGGTCCCCGTGAAAAGTAAATCAGTTCTTTTCGAATATAAAAATCTCAAATGGCAACCCTGTACACACACATACCACCTATTAGTTGCTATCCTTTTTTGGATTGTAGGAGAAGAGTAGGTAACAAGTTTTCTAAAAACACAACAAAAGCAAAAAACAAAACAAAGAAATCCTTTTGACAGATGTGCGCAGGCGTAACAGTTTTCCGTTGGCATTTCAATGCCAGATTAATGGGTGTTTGTTCGGTTTGCCTATTTGTGTGTGTAATGCACACACACACCACTCATTTTTCCAAATGAGTATGGAAAATTCGACTTTTTCGCTTAAATTCTGGGAAAATAAATTTAGAAATGCCTGTGTTGTTGTTGTTGTTGCTGCTGCCTTAAGTCCTTTGTAATTTGAGTAAAACATTCAATGGGATTTTCTCTTTCATAAATAGGAGAGGAGAATGCAAATGTGTGTGTGTGTGCGAGGGTATTGTGTGTTTTGGTGGCCTGTATTATTTTGTAAGCTAAAATTGCTTTTTCTTTTGATGTCAGCTAGTGCAGAAATGTTTGTAGTGCAGTAAAGACGCTTTTGACGCTTCAAAAACCGCGATTATTATTTTTTAATTTTTTTTGTTTTGAAAGAAATTTTTTTTGTGCAAAAAAAGTTTTGTGTGTGTGCTTGTGTAATTGTGTGTTATATTTAAAAAAGCTTACTCGTACTTTAAGCTTATTAGCTTGAAAGTTTTTGAAAAAATTTAAATTTTTATTTAAAAAAATTGACCAACGTTTTTTTCATTTAAATTACATTTTTAAGCCATAAATCCTCCTTTTACACGCTTGGTGTGTGAGTATGAAATGCAGAGCAACGCTTGAGGAATATTTTTCCCTTTGACGGATATCTTCCTGAAAATCAACATCATGCCAATAATTTAAAACAAGTGAACTGTGATCCTTTGATTTTTTTCTATGTACAAAAATAAGAGCTGAGGCCATGTGAAATATTTCTATAGGAAAAAATTGGGAACTGAGATCCTGCGAATATTTTTCTGCCGAAAAAATAGCCAAAGGCTCTGTGGTATTTTTTCTATAAAAATTGGAACTGAGATTCCTGTGATTTTTTTCTGTAGGAAAATTGGCAAGGTTCGGTAAATTGTTTTCTAAAGAAAATGAAAATAGAAATTAAATTCGCAGAAACATCAGTTCCCACTTTTTCCTATAAAAATAAAATTCTATAAAATAAAATTTACATGACCTCATTTTTAAATTATTTCTATAGAAAAAAAATAACTCAATTCCCAATTTTTTCCTTTAGAAAAAAATCGTAAAACCTCAGTTCCCAATTTTTTTTTAGAAAAAAAAATCGTAGAACCTCAGTTCCCAATTTTTTTCTTTAGAAAAAAATCGTAAAACCTCAGATCGCATTTTTTCTATAGAAACTAGTTTTGCAAAACCTTAGGTCCCATTCTTTCTATAAAAAAAATCTCAGAAACCTCAGTTCCAAATTTTTTATAATGAAAAAAATTTATTAGAAAAAAAATCGGAGAAACTCCGTTCGCATTTTTTCTACAAAAAAAATCACAGATCTTCGGGAACCACAGATTCCAATTTTTTTTCTTGTGAAAAAAAAATCGGAGAACCCCAGTTCCCAATATTTTTTCGGAAAACCTCACTTTGGCATTTTTTCTATAGAAAAAAATTGCGAAACCTTAAAGTTCCCTTTCTTTCTATAGAAAAAATTCTCAGAAACCTTATTTCTATTTTTTTTGTTATAATGAAAAATCTCGAATTTTTAATAGAAACAAAATTCACAGAAACCTCTGTTCCCAATTTTGTTTTTTATAGAGAAAATCGCCGTATGGGAACTTCAGTTCCCATTTTATCTATAGAAAAAAGTTCGGAGAAAATCCGTTCTCAATTTTTCTATAGAAAAAAAAATCATCGGAACTGCAGTACCCATTTTTTCTATAGAAATAAATCGCAACTCATTCCCATTTTTTCTAAAGAAACCAATTCACAGGAACCTCAGCTCACTTTTTTTCTAATTAAAAAAAATTGCAGGACTTCAGTTTCTACTTTAGTTTAAGAAAAAAATATGCCTGACCTTTAGCCAGTATCACAAGTCTATTTTTTTCAAAATTGTTCAGAAAAATATCACACAATTTCTTAGCACACACACACATTCGCACAAAACCGCCCTCAATACGAAAAAAATTATTCCAATTTTTTTTCTATACAAAAAAAAATTATTCCAATTTTTTTTCTATACGAAAAAAATTATTCCGTATTTTTTTCTATACGAAAAAAAATCCTTTTTTATTTTTTTTTAACTTGTTTAAAAAATATCCCACAATTTCTAAGCACACACATTCGCACAAAACCACCCTCAATTTAAAACTGCACTATAAACATTTCTGCATTCCCATATCCATATTTTTAATTTTAGTGTTATTTACTGATTAATATATTTGTTTTTTCTTTTTGTTTCAGATTCCATTTGAACCACCAGGATGTAGAGTTATTCCCTCATTTCCCATTCCAGTTAAAATTTTGTTGACTTGAACTAACCTATTTTTCTCTTTTTCTAGGTATCACCAAAAAGGCAAAATAAGGTAATCATGAGAACATCATTTGCAAAACGACTAATAATCCCGCACCACCATCATCATTAGCAACATCACAAGGAACTAACAAAATAATGCACAAGGGTGATCAGCCATATATTTCATAATATATAACATCCAATAATAATATCATCATTAAATTCATGCTCATTGTAATTTGTTATTAAAAACAATATAAAATTATATTATTATAAAATTAGTGACAGCATTATTTGTACAAAGCTTAGTACTCGCAAATGGTTATGGAGCTTAAAATAATTTAGTATTAAAAGTTAAAATATAAAAAATATATATGCAGCAATAATTCAATAATAATAATAAGCCACACACACATGATCTCTTTCATTATTTATTATATAGAAGAGATAAATAAACAAAAGAGAGTTAAGAGCGAGAAAACTTTTACTATTATTATTATTAAATTACATGTTCGTTTCTTAAGTCTTTGTATATTGCCTGTACTCACAACTCTGTGGTGATTTATAATAAGAGAGAGAGAGAGAGAAAATATCCACACTCTTAACATTTACTGTTATTAATTAATTACATGTTCGTTTCTTAAGTCTTTGTATATTGCCTGTACTCACAACTCGGAGAGAGAATGCCCACTCTCTTAACAGTTAATCAAGTTGAGTTGGTCATGTACACAGTTAAAACAAAAGACTTAAGAAACGAACCATGTATACGGTGTGTTACAATTGTAAATATGCGCGCTCTCTCTCTCTCTCACGCACATTGTACTGCTATAGAGAAGGTGATAATTATTTAGAGATGATATTATAAGAACAAAAGACTTAAGACACAAACGTTTAGCAACCTTTTTGAATAGGAATTATGTATGTGGGAACAAAACCAAACATGATAAATGAGTAAAGGGATGAATATATTTTATTTATTATTTATTATATTAGTTATTAAATATGTATAAATATATATTTTTAGTTTCAGTTTGGCATTTGAGACACACTATTAATATATATAAACCAGTGAGAACTTAATAATAATTTGTAAATATATTTTTATTAAAAAATAGAAGTAAAGATAAATAAAAAAACTAAAAAGAAAAAATTATAAAGATGAAATTCATAATTATAAAAAGGGAATGCTTTTTTAAATTTATACGTCAATAAATAAAATGTAAAAAAGTTTTTTTTTTTTTGGAGAAAGCGAGCCTATAAAAAAATACTTATTAAAATTATACAAATTTATAAATCATTAAAAAAAATATTTTACATATTTTGTGTCCAAATGGACATTACGCATGTCATCACTGTAGTTAGTTTTAGCTATACTAATGATATTTTGGGAAAGTATTAAAATATATTTTAACAAAAAAATTTATTAAATTATTAATAACATAATAGACTTATAATAGATTTGATACAATTTATTAACCCCATTTAAAAACTTCATTTAAAAAAAATATTACCTTTTGTAAAATACTTCTATCATAACCTCAAAATTTTCATTTTATTGCTAATCTTTACAAAGACAAACATTTCATTTGAAACCAAATTCAAACATGCAGAGCTTGAAAAAATATTTTGCTTTTTCATGATGGAACAAACAAATTAATTTCATTCAAAATTACAAAAAAACGAAGAATTTAATTTATACCCTTCCCCTCGGTCTCTCCCTCCTTACAGATTTAACCCAGAAATTGGATCAACCGCACAAAGAAAATACCGCACCAAATCAAGTGCCGAAAAAAGTGAACCGACGTAAATCCCGGCCCGGCAGCATTAGCCCCAATAGCAACAACAATAATAACAACAACAATACCAAATCTCAAAATTCTTTGGGTGATGTTGCCTCCCATACCGTTGCTGCTGCCGCCGCTCTAATTGGTGGTGGTGCTGCGGGTGGCAATGAAATTAATCGCAAACGTTTGTCCATGTCAGATGTTTCCGATATGCTTTATGAATTCTATAGGGCCAATGCAGCGGCCAAGGTACCCAAACAGCAATCACAAACCTCGGTGCTGGGGGCTGTGGTGTCGAAATTCTGTGGCCAAACTTCACCCACCTCCGCGGAGACTTTGGAGCCATCCAGCATTGCGGCCATTGCCACAAATGGTGCCGCCTCAGAGACGGCAATTAAAAATAGTTTTGCCGATGAAAAGCTGGTGACTGCTGCCACACCCACAATGGGTGCGGCCTCGCTACATCCCAAGTTGAAATATACGCTAAAAGCCAAATTGGAGGGGGATAATGTGAACACCCCAACCCCCACGCCCACAACACCTTTTATAACAGCCATACCCACCTCGGTGTTGACCGTGACACCCACCATCAACACCAGTGATGAGCCACTGGACATTAAACCCATCATAAATCCCACCACGGGGTTGGTAGAGACCGCACCACCCACCACTGCAGACAGTGTGATCAAACAAGTTCCTGGAGCCAATACCCAGGCTGCAGCCATTGCCGCTGCTCTCATTCGGGATGGCTATCACAATTTTCAGCAGCAAATTCGCGCCCAAGAAATCATGAAATTCCAAAAAGGCAACTTCAAGGCTCTGCACAAAACAAACGAATCCACACCCACCAAAATTTTAGAAACCTTCCTAAGGCAGCAACGCAATTCGGAATGCGATACAAATTCCGAGCCCAATGATGGTGATGATGAGGATGACTCCCGCTACAACGCCTTCGATGATATCCATCTGATGGATCAGTCGAAGAATGGAGGTGGTAATGGTGCGGCAGGTGGTGGTGTGGCTTTCCCCCAACTTTTACAAAATGCCTTGTCACAAAATTCGGCCCCCGCCACTCCCGGCTCGGTAGATTATCTCTCCGATGAATCTCAGAAATATATGAATTTAGCTGCTCAGGCTCAGGCCTTCCGCAACTTGGAATATTCCCTAGGCGATTTTGGCAACACAAGTCCGAATGAAAATTCCGGTCCCACTGGCATCGGGGCAGATGGTGAACCGATTTACGAATGCCGCCATTGTGGTAAGAAATATCGTTGGAAATCGACACTGCGCCGACACGAGAATGTCGAATGTGGTGGTAAGGAACCATCACATCAGTGTCCCTATTGCCCGTACAAATCAAAGCAAAGGGGTAACCTTGGGGTACATGTCCGCAAGCATCATTCGAATATGCCTCAGCTGGCAAGTCGCCGTCGTTCGAAATATTCGACAAAATGTGAATCGAATGTCAGCAGTGCCAATGTTTCGGATGATTCCAATTCCAAGTTAATCATCGACTGTTCCAAATGAGTGTGGGCCTATCTTTGGGCCCAATCTCAGTTGGAATGTGACGAGGATGCGACGACGGCGAGATGACGACGAGGACAGTGTAATACGACGAAGAGATTGACTGGGGAAAATTGTGTGGATTTGTGGCAATGGTGGTGGTGGGGAGAGACAAATTGGAAGAATGTGGTAACACCATGTGTGGAAGAGGAGGAGGAGGATGGCGATGATGACGACAAGGAAGAGAAAAGTGTTAAAGAAGAAAATGAGGAGGAGGTGGAAGAGGAAACGATGGAATCGGAACGTGACTGTAATAATGGTAAGAATTTCGTCCCGAACAAAATTATTATTAAAAATTCAAGTCATAATAAAATAAAAAAAAATATATTCAAAAAATTTAGAAAATATTATTTAAAAAAAAAATACTTAAAAAATTAAAAAAAAAAGTTCTTAAAAATATTTTTTAAAAAAATCCAGTTTTTTGAAAAAGAATTTAATCTTTTGAAATTTTTTTAATACTAATCCTGGAAAGATTTTTAAAATATATTTTAAATATTTTTACAAAAATCCAAAAAATCTAAAAATTAAAAAAAAAAATTAAATCCCTAAAAAATTAAAAAAACTTAAAAAATATTTTTTAAAACAATATTTAAACTAATTATTATTTTTTTTAATCCTCGCCTTACACAGTCCTTGAAAAAATATTTTTTTCAAATTCATGACCAGAAAAGAAACTTAAAAAATATTTGATTTTTTTATACCCTGTGTGGTACAGGGTATAATGTCTTTGTGCATATGTTTGTAACAGGCAAAAGGAATCGAGATAGACGCATGGTTCCTTTTGAGAATATGCATAGAATCACCTTCTGAGTCGATTTACGCAGGTCCGTCTGTCCATGTATTTTTGTTAACAAAGTACAGGTCGAATTCATGATTCGATTTGGATGAAATTTGGCACAGCTCATTTATTTGGCCCAAGGACGAACCCTATTGAAATTGAAGAAAATCGGTTCAGATTTAGATATAGCTCCCATATATATTTTCATCCGATTTAAGGTAAATGGGGCATCAAAGTCCCTATATATCATTCGATTTGCATGAAATTTGGCATGAAGTTCTGAATGAGGACCAGAATGATGTGTGTTAAGTTTCGTGAAAATCGGTTCAGATTTAGATATAGCTCTCGTATATATTTTCGTCCGATTTAATGTAAATGGGGCACCAAAGTCCCTATATATCTTTTGATTTGCTCGAAATTTTGCATGGGGTACTAAATTAAGTGTAGAATGATGTGTGTTAAGTTTCCTGAAAATCAGTTCAGATTTAGATATAGCTCCCATATATATTTTCGTCCGATTTTATGTAAATGCTGCACCAAAGTCCCTCTATACCTTTCGATTTGCATGAAATTTGGCATGAAGTTCTGAATGAGGACCAGAATGATGTGTGTTAAGTTTCCTGAAAATCGGTCCAAATTTAGATATAGCTCTCATATATATTTTCGTCCGATTTAATGTAAATGGGGCACCAAAGGCCCTCTATACCTTTCGATTTGCATGAAATTTGGCATGAGGTTCTGAATGAGGACCAGAATGATGTGTGTTAAGTTTCCTGAAAATCGGTCCAGATTTAGATATACCTCCCATATATATTTTCGTCCGATTTAATGTAAATGGGGCACCAAAGGCCGTATATATCTTTCGATTTGCTCGAAATTTTGCATGGGGTACTGAATTAAGTGTAGAATGATGTGTGTTAAGTTTCGTGAAAATCGGTCCAGATTTAGATATAGCTCCCATATATATTTTCCTCCGATTTAATTTAAATGGTGCACCAAAGTCCCTATATATTTTTCGATTAACACGAAATTTAGCACAGCGTAGTGAATTAGGTCTAGAATAATTTGTCTGAAGTTTCCTGAAAATCGGTCCAGATTTAGATATAGCTCCCATATATATTTTCGTCCGATTTTATGTAAATGCTGCACCAAAGTCCCTATATATATTTCGATTTGCACGAAATTTGGCATGAAGTTCTGAATGAGGATCAGAATAATGTGTCTGAAGTTTCCTGAAAGTCGGTCCAGATTTAGATATAGCTCCCATATATATTTTCGTCCGATTTAATGTAAATGGTGCACCAAAGTCCCTAAATATCTTTCGATTTGCACGAAATTTGGCATAGCGCACTAAATAGAGTCTATAAAGATGTGTGCTAAGTTTCGTAAAAATCGGTTCAGATTTAGATATAGCTCCGATATATATTTTCGTCCGATTTAAGGTAAATGGTGCATCAAAGTTCAATTTCATGTCAATAATATTTCGAAAAGTCTGTTAGGAGACTTTGTAGAATATACCCAAAGTGGTGAAGGGTATCATATAGTCTTCCCAGTCCGACTTTACTACTTTCCTTACTGGTTTAGATTTTTATAATATTTTTTGATAAAATATTTTTATTAATTTTTATTTTTTCTTTTTAATTTTTTTTCTGTTTTAAATTTTTATTATATTTTAATAACATATTTTTATTAATTTTTATTTTCTTCTCTTATCTTTTCAGTATAAAAAAATTATAATTAATAAATAAAAGTACACCTGATGTCATCGTCATGATCATCCTTCTCTCTGGAATTCAGCCAAGATCTACAAACTCCCAACCATGGCAAATCTCAAGAATTTTCCAAAAACACACAATTCTGTATAAAACTAAACCAAAGTGATTTTATATATATATAAAATTAATTTTTTATTATTTTTTTTTTAATTTTCGAAACTAAAATCCTTAGACGAAAAAGAAGAAGAAAAACAAACTATGTCATATAATTACCCTTAAGTGCCACAGTATTCTTTCGATTCCAAAAAAAAATCTACGACTATACACAAAAAGAAAAACATATTCCTTGCCATATATTCCTAGAAATGAAATTTATATCCTTAAGCCTAAATCAAAAAAAGAAACCCCTTCAAAAAAAATTAAACCAAAAAAAAATTATTATATGGGGTTTAAACTACTACAAACAAAAAAAAATCATGCTCAACAAAAAATGACAATTATTGTTTTTGTAAAACAATGAAAAAAATCTCAAACAAAAAGAAAAAAACAAATTGCTTCCAAATCATAATTTTATTTCGTAAATAATTATTTTCTTATATATAAAAATATATTTTATGTTTTATTTTATTATTTTTTTTTATTAAATTTTGTGCAAAGAAATGAAAAATAATTGTGACTCAATTGTCAATCAATTTGTAAATGTGAATATGCGTTTTTAAATATAAATATTTAACTGACATTTTTTTATAATTTTTTTCTAATGCTCAAAAAAAAGATATTTCAAAAAAAGACTTATTACAATTTATTTTTATTTTTAATTTGAAAAAAAAGAAAAACAATGATACTCATATAAATATATATTATGATTTTTTTTTAACTATACTCTAAAATAAACAAATAATCAAAAAAAAAATATATCGAAACGAAATCAAAACTAGTTTTTAAGTTTATAATTTTTTTCTTTTACATACATATATATTTTCTAATTATTTTTTATTTTTGTAATTTCTTATGATTTTGCTTAATTTTTAAGAAAGAAAAAAATACCTACATACACCCCCCGACTTGGGCTTTACAACATGACACAGTAAAGTTCCCCTAAAAGAACCAAATCTAAGACCAAAAAACAAATTAAAGTGAACAAAAAAAATCGTCATAAATTGAGATTTTTATATAAAAAAATATATATTGAAAAAACACCAACAATTGTTTTAATTATATATGTAATATTTAATTATTTTTTTTATATTTTGTAATTTACATATATATTTTATTGTATTAATTTTTATTTTATTTATTTTTTGTCAAGATGAACTTTGTAGTGAGGGTATGGGTAAGCCTCACTTCAAAGTTTTTTGCTAAGTTCCTCGTTTTTTACCCTCAGCCCTATCCTCACTTCAAAGTTTTTTTTTTGCTAAGTTCCTCGTTTTTATACCCTCGGCCCTATGGCTAATGGCCGGGGGTACATACACGTTGTGCCTCATCGAAATATAGTTTTTAGACCCCCATGTTTCTTTGGACCAAATCCGTTTCCGACAATTTGGAGTAAACTTATAAATGTCCCTTCGTCCTTCCGTCTGGCTGATGCGCACGATAACTCTCGTAATTGATTTCATTCAAACTTTTTGCACATCATAACATTTCTATTTAATTTATACCAATTTCAAAGATTGGGAATATTCGTCCACTCCTTCCGATAGCTCCCCCACAAAATGGTTAAAATTTTACAGAAAATTAATTCTACAATATCATAAGAACGGATAAAACGATTTGGACCAACACCTAATATTTTAACCATCACTGGATAATGTTGGAAGATGTGACCTATGAGGAGCTACCTATGAAGGCTCCCCCAAAAATTTTCAAGATTTTGAAACTTTTTAATTCATAACCAAAAAATGTTTTGATCCAAACATTAAAATCGTAATACATTTACCAAACCTTGATCATGACCGAATATGAGATCAATCGGTCAACACCTTCTGGTAGCTCCCCCACAAAAAGTTAAAATTTTGAAAATTCCTAATTCAATATCAAATTAATCCAAACTTTGCACATCGTAATATTTTTACATTGGCTAGATTGAGTCCGAATATGGGACCCTTGTTTGTTTCAAACTTTGTACATCATAATAATTTTATCCTACCTAGATCAAGTGCGAACATGGGATTCTTCGGACCACTTCTTCTAGTACCTCCCCTCACAAATTGTCAAAAATTTGAAAGTTTGTTAATTCAATACCAAACGAATTGAATGTCTGATTTGATCCCAACATTGTACATAAAAATATTTTTATCCCTACCTAGATCAAGTCTGAAAATGGGTCCGAAAATTCGGACCGCTCCATCTAGTACATCCTCCACATAGGGGCACAATTTTGAAACTTTGTTAATTCAATACCAAACAAATTGAATGTCCGATTTGATCCCAAATTGTACATCACAATATTGCTTATTATCTAGATCACATTTGAAGATTGGCCGCTTTGAAG